AATACTGGAATGGGTAGCCTGTCCCTTCTCCAGGGGATCTTCCTGACCCAGGAATCAAAACGGGGTCTCCTACATTCCAGGCAGATTCTTTACCAAATAGACGGGGAAAAAGTGGAAAGTGACCCTTTATTTTCTTGGCTTCCAAAATTGCTGTGGACGATGACTGCAGCCATGAAATTAAAAGACGCTTGCTCCTTGGAAGAAAAGCTATAACAAACCTAGACAGTGTATTAAAATGCAGAGACATCACTTTGTTGACAAAGGTTTGTGTAGTCAAAGCTATGGTTTTTCCAGTAGCCATGTACGAATGTGAGAGTTGGACCATAAAGGAGTCTGAGTACCAAGGAATTGATGCTTTTAATTGTGGTGTTGGAGAAGACTTCTCAGAATCCCTTGGACAGCAAGGAGATCAAACCAGTCAATCCTAAAGGAAATCAGTCCTGTTCATTGGAAGGACTGATGCTGAAGCTCCAGTACTTTGCCCACCTGAAGCAAAGAGTTGACTCATTGTAAAAGACCCTGATTCTGGGAAAGATTGAAGACAGGAGGGGAAGTGGGCGACAGAGGATGAGATGGTTGGATGGCATCATTGACTAAATGGACATGTTCAGTTAAGTTCAGTCGCTCAGTCATGCCTGACTCTTTGCGACCCCATGAACTGCAGCATGCCAGGCCTCCCTGTCCATCACCAACTCCCGGAGTTTACCCAAACTCATGTCCATTGAGTCGCTAATGCCATCTAACCAGTTCATCCTCTGTTGTCCCCTTCTCCTTCTGCCTTCAGTATTTCCCAACATCAGGGTCTTTTCCAGTGAGTTACTTCTTTGCATCAGGTGGCCAAAATATTGGAATTTCAGCTTCACCATCAGTCCTTCCAATGAACACCCAGGACTGATTTCCTTTAGGATGGACTGGTTGTCCTTGCAGTCCAAGGGACTCTCAAGAGTCTTCTTCAACACCACAGTTCAAAAGCATCAATTTTTCGATGCTCAGCTTTCTTTATAGTCCAACTCTCACATCCATACATGATTACTGGAAAAACCATAGCCTTGACTAGATGGACCTTTGTTGACAAAGTAATGTCTGTGCTTTTTAATATGGTGTCTACATTGGTCATGACTTTCCTTCCAAGGAGTAAATGTCTTTTAATTTCATGGCTTCAGTCACCATCTGCAATGATTTTGGAGCCCAGAAAAATAAAGTCAGCCACTGTTTCCACTATTTCCCCATCTATTTGCCATGAAGTGATGGGACCGGATGCCATGATCTTAGTTTTCTGAATGTTGAGCTTTAAGCCAACTTTTTCACTCTCCTCTTTCACTTTCATCAAGAGGCTCTTTAGTTCTTCACTTTCTGCCATAAGGGTGGTGTCATCTGCATATCTGAGGTTATTGATATTTCTCCTGGCAATCTTGATTCCAGCTTGTGCTTTCTCCAGCCCAGCATTTCTCATGATGTACTCTGCATATAAGCTTGGAGAATTTTGAGCATTACTTTACTGGCGTGTGAGATGAGTGCAATTGTGCAGTAGTTTGAGCATTCTTTGGCATTGCCTTTCTTGAGTAAAATCCAGGAGATGGTGAGGGACAGGGAAGCCCAGTGTGCTGTAGCCCATGGGGTTGCCAAGAGTTGGACAGGATTGAGAGACTGAGCAATAGCAATGTGAAAAGGGAATGCAAATAGGCGTATGCTTAAGGCTGATTGATGGTTGCAAGTTACACAACAACAGGTTCTGTTGTGCATGTCTTTCCCATAATTAATCTGTTATAATCTATGTATGTATGTATAGAATATTCACAAACCCTTAGTTGGGTCCTAACTGCCTAAGGTTATTTGAAGACATGTGTGGGAGTTGGAGAAGCTCCTGTGGTTTGTTTGTATCCACTGTGTGCCTAGGGCACATGTGCAGGAGTTGGAAAAGTTTCTGTGGGTATTTTTGTAGCATATCTGTGAGCTCTCTGGGGGGTGTCTGGTATGGGGTTTAGAGATCAGCTTGCATCCTTTTCGGCTAGGCCACGCCTATTGGTCATGCCTAACTTCCTACCTTACACTACTGCAGTTCTCTGGACCTAGTCAGTAAAAGAAAGCTCTAGGGAGATTGTTGGTTGGTTGTACTTGGCCTTCATTGTTTTCTTAATTGTTTGCCTGATGCTTGGAAGGCCCATGGAGACTGTAGATGCAGGTGACCTTTTGTACTTTTAAGCAAAATGCTGAAAAGTAACCATCTGTCCAGAAAAAGTGAGGTGGGGGAGAGTAGAAAGAATCTTCCATGTAGTTTATGGTTTGAATTTTGTCTCTTGTCATTTGCCTCCAGTTTTTCTATACAAAATGAAGTGCAGGATGCATTTATTAATAGAATAATGTTCAATTTAAGCCTTTTAAAATTTATAATTATTTTTCATCGTTGTTAAAATCATACATTGAACCAATTGTGTACTGAGTGTTTTATGAGCTAAAAAAATAAAAGGATGTATCTTGTTGCTTCTGGGAATTAGTCTTTAATGACCTCAGTTTTAGTGGAGTGTATAACGGAGGAAAAGTACCTTTTATATAAAATTTTATAACTATACACTTACTCAAAAAGTTAAAAAAAATTAAAAACCCCTGTCCTTCAGTATTCAGCTAAGGTGTGATCATTGTTTGGTGCTTATTCTTGGACCTTGCAGTCTTGGCACATTTCTACTACCATGTTTATTGATGTAGTTATGTTCAGTAGCTGGGCTCCAGTAGCTTTACTTGCTAACAGTGGCTGTAGGCTAGTTAGTTATGTTACTTTTGTGAGCATTATTTTCCTCTTCTCTTCACAGGGCATGATCCTTACTCTTGCTTATGAGGGTCAAAGAGAATAATGCATATGAAAATCTTTTTCCAAGGGGCAAAGCTTTGTATGAGCATAGACTAATGCATGGTTTATAAGGATACCTTTTTCCAACTTTTTTTTAAAAAAAACTGCATTTAGGCACATTTTACTGTGTAAAATAGTGATATTTAGTAAATTTACCATTCGTGTCATGTTGTTGTGTTAGTCGCTCAGTTGTGTCTGACTCTTTGTGACTCCGTGGGTTGTAGCCCAGCAGGCCCCTCTGTCCATGGAATTCTTCAGGCACGAATACTGGAGTGGGTTGCCATTCCCTTCTCCAGGGAAATTTACCATTACCTTAAGTCATTTTTAGAATATTTTCATCATCATCCCAGTAAAGTCCCTTGTGTCCTTTAACTGTTAATACTATTCCCAACTCCTGATCCAGGCAATCCCCGTAATCTTTCTCGCTAGATTTGCCTTTTTGGACATTTCATCTAAATGGAGTCATACAGTGTGTGTTTGCCATGTCTCGCTTCTTTCACCTAGCATGATGGTTTGGAAGTTTGTTCATGTCATAGTATAGTTCTGTTTCTGAGTAAGACTCCATGATACGGATATACTGTACATACATTTTGTTTATCCATTCAGTAATTGATGGACATTTGGATTATTTCCAGTTTTTTATTATGATGAATGCTGCTCCAAACATTCACATACAAGTCTTTTTATGGACATGTGTTTTCTTTTCTCTTGAGTATAAACATGTATCTTTTAATTATAAAAGTAATACACGCTTGTTCTGAAAAATTTTTTATATAGGGAAGTATGAAACTTGGTAAGTGAGTCACCTCCATAATTACACTTTCCAGGGGTGGTGATGGTAGTAATAATAATTGTTAGCATCTAAGTGTTTTGAGCGTTTACTATATGCCAGGCATTGTGCTGCCTTATATATTCAGTTATTTCATATAGCATATATATGAAATAATCCATTGAAGTTGATACTATTTTTCTTTATTTCATGAATGAGGAAACTGAAGTTTAAAGACTAAATGTTAAGTCACTCTTCTAATAAGTCTCAGAGCCAGAATTTGAGCTTGGGCATTCTGGTGTATGTTCTTTGAGACTTTCCAATACATGCAGTTTTTTAAAAACAAAAATTATTTTATTCTGTAGCTTGTTTTATTTCACTTAATTTGTCTTACAGATTATTCCATGGTGGGATTTATAGATCTATCATTATTTTTATGATTGTATGAATAGATATGCCAGGATTTGTTTAATTCATCTTTTATTAGTAGACATTTGGTTGCTTTTTTCCCCCTCTATTATGAATTGTTGCTGCTTGTTTGCTAAGTCGTGTCTGACTCTTGTGACCCCATGGACTGCCCACCAGGCTCCTCTGTCCATGAGATTTCCCAGGTAAGAATACTGGAGTAGGTTGCCGTTTTCTTCTCCAGGCGATATTCCTGACCCAGGGATCAAACCCACGTCTCCTGCATTGTCAGGCAGATTCTTTACTGCTAAGCCACCAGGGAAGCCCCCAATTATGAATAGGGCTGTAGCAAATATCCTTGTATTTAAGACTTTGCTTTCCGGTGGTATTACTTTTGTGGCCTTACGTCCTGGAAGTGAAATTTCCAAATGACAGGCTTTGTACATTTCAGTTTTGGTGTTGCTGAATATCTCTCCACTGAAGATGGTAAATAACCCTTTCTGACTTCTTCACCCTTTAAATAAGCATATAAGAGAGCCTATTTTCCCTAGCCATTTCAGTGTTGCATTATTTTCTTTGTAATGTGGTTATACGTTATCAATCATATAAACTTCTAGAGAGAAGTTAACATATCAGGGAAGGGCAATGTTGAATAGCTGGTAAATTTAAGTATTTTCCAGCCTTTTGATAGGTCAGGATTTGGCATTTATCTAGGCTCTCAAGAGGTGCAATATTCCCCGCCCCCCTGCAGGCGCGGCCCCCGCCGGGGTCCCCATTGTTTGAAGGGGCGGGGCGGCGCCCCCAGGGAGCGACCTGAGGGCCAGACTGTGGGGCGGGAAAGGGCAGCGCCCCCGCCCAGGGTTCGTGAGGCTGCCCACGGAAGGCTAATACCCCTACGAGAGCTGTTCGGCCCGGGGGCGCGGACGGCTTTGGGTGGCGGAAGATTGGGAGCAAAGGAAAGAGGTGGCGAGCTGATGGGTTTTCCTTGCCAGTGAATCGTGTAGAGTACACTGCCAGTCTCTTGTCTTCTCTTCACCATGGCTTCTTCTGATATTCAGGTGAAGGAACTGGAGAAGCGTGCCTCAGGCCAGGCTTTTGAGCTGATTCTCAGCCCTCGATCAAAAGAATCTGTCCCAGAATTTCCCCTTTCCCCTCCTAAGAAGAAGGATCTTTCCCTGGAGGAAATTCAGAAGAAATTAGAAGCTGCAGAAGAAAGACGCAAGTCCCATGAAGCTGAGGTCTTGAAGCAGCTTGCTGAGAAACGGGAGCACGAGAAAGAAGTGCTTCAGAAAGCGATAGAGGAGAACAACAACTTCAGTAAAATGGCGGAAGAGAAGCTGACCCACAAGATGGAAGCCAACAAAGAGAACCGGGAGGCACAAATGGCTGCCAAACTGGAGCGTTTGCGAGAGAAGGACAAGCACATTGAAGAAGTGCGGAAGAACAAAGAATCCAAAGACCCTGCTGATGAGACTGAAGCTGACTAATTTGATCTGAGAACTGACTTTCTCCCCCTCCCCTTCCTAAATATCCAAAGACTGTACTGGCCAGTGTCATTTTACTTTTGCCCTCCTGACAAATATTCTAGAAGCTGATGTAGAACTATATAGGTAGATCCAGACGGTATGATGTTGTTCTAGGGGCTAAAGGGGAGAAACAAAAAGTGTTTTACTCTTTTTCTAAAGTGTTGAAGTCTTTCTAATGTAGCTATTTTTCTTGTTGCATCTTTTCTACCTCAGTACACCTGGTGTGCTGGGTTAATGGCTAGTACTGTATTGGCTCCGTGAAAACATGTCTGTGAAGAGAGTATGTAGTGGCTTCTTTCAAATTGTTAGATGCTGATTATCTGTTCACTTTTAAATCCCAATTCTGTCCCGATCTTACAGATGCTACTGTACTTGAATGGTTAATAAAGCTGCACAGTGCTGTTAAAAAAAAAAAAGAGGTGCAATATTGGAGTAACCCAAACTGTAATTCAGGTTAACTTAGGTTGACTTACCTGTTTGATGTTTTAAAATGAACACCACAACATTTCAGCCACAGCTGTTCCCATTTTCTTAGGCCTGTTCTCTAGCTGCTCTGGCCTGCTGGTTACCTTTCACCTCATTGCTGCGCTATCCTTGCCTTGCCCCTAACTCACTTTAAAGTGGAGCCAAGAAAGGGAGAGGAGAACTTGGACAGCTGGGATAGATACATGTGCTTGTCATTTCCATTCTTTCCTTCAATGCAGGCCACCAAAGTGAGACCAACAGCCTAATACTATCCTTTTTTAGTCTCTCCAAAGATACGGCTCTTGTCATCTCTGCTATTGGCAGGATCCAAGTTGCCATGGTCTCTGTGGCCAGTATTGAGCTATATACACCTGTTTAAAGGGAGGTAAGTTTTCCATGATGGTGCCAATAAAGGAGTCAAGGACACAGAGTTTTGGATAGTTGTCTTGCAGGAGCCAGGGCCTACCACATCTTACATCTTTCAGACATTGGGAACCTTGAATAGCATTTTCTTGTAGATTTTGCCTTTGTCTTCTGGCTGTCCTTTTCCTCTCCACTCTCCATGCTTCTTGTCTTCATCTCTTGGCCCTGTTATTCTGGGAGATGCTGCCCTCTGCTGGTGGACTGTAGGATACCTAGAGCAGTTTAGATAGGTCTGACCACTAGAGGAACTGACAAGGCTATATAGAGCCAGAGTCATCAAACTCTCTAGTCTCCAGTTTCATGAACTAATCCTAAGACTTTCTGCTATGAATATAATTCATCAATCACTGGAAAATATACAAGTACAGAGACATTCATTGTAACATCCATAGTTGAGTATAAGTCACTCAGTCAATGTCTGACTCTTTGTGACCCTGTGTACTGTATAGTTTGCCAAGTTCCTCTGTCCCTGGAATTCTCCAGGCAAGAATACTGGAGTGGGTTGCCATACCCTTCTCCAGGGGATCTTCAAACCAGGGATCAAACCCAGGTCTCCTGCATTGTAGGCCTATTTTGACCATCTGAAGCACCAGGGAAGCCCAGATATCTGTAGTAGCAAAAGAATAAAACCTAGATGTCCAACACTTGGGATTGTAATTACAGCTGCTAAAATTGGCTATGTAAAAGACAACATAAAACAATGAAAATATTTATCAAGCAGAATGTACCAGTTGCAGCCATGGTACATACCTCTTAAGTAATATAATGGCTAATCTGAAATCCTCAAGACTAGTTGTCAAAGCTAGGATGATTTCTCTTGATATTTCATTAATACAGTTAGTAAAATAGTATGCCTAATATTTCTTTAGTATTGTTGTATATCTGTATTTTCTCCTGAAACAAATACTTGACATTTGAGTGGCCTGCTGAAAAACATTGCTATGATGTGTGGTCCTCGTGCAGACCTGATTTCCCAGGACAATAAGGGTGGTGCCATATGTAGCAGCTGTCTAAAACAGGAACTGCAGCTATGATGGGAACTTCCTAGGCAGCCTTTTTACCTAATAGAGTAGGTCAGATAGAGTATAGATATTGCTTTGTATGATTTGATGAGAGACTGACTTGCCTCCTTGGTATAGGTCTCCACCTCAAATGATGCCCCCCCAGTAGGATATTTCTGAGAATTTTCTTTTTAACGAACTGTAAGGAGGGAAGGGAGCTGTTTGAGAAACCCACTTATGTTTTTTAAAACTAAGCACCTCATTACACAACATTTGGATGAGAGTAAAAAGTATTGGCTCATATATCTTGATCCTTGTCATTTAACAAGTAAATTGCTATTTTCAACAGCAGGACTAGAGTGAAGCAAATGAGATACCTATAATACAAAATTTAAGACAACATTCAGTCTCAGGGTCATGCAAGTTCAGGATCAGCCTTATTTCTCAAATAATCACTGTCAGACCCTGCTCAGCTCTTGGGAAGCACCATTCCTGATGTGACGTGATAGATTGTTTATTACCCTTTCCTAGTCTGAGCCTTGACCTAGAGCCTAGGGCACCTGCGCTCTGGAAGCAGCTGTCTGGTTGAACAGATTTTGATCAACCACTTGACTTTTAGCTGTTGGTTTAGCCCAGGAGGGGTAGCCCACTAATGACAGCCTGTCTAAAATCCAGAATAAATCTTGCAAAATTACCAAGTAAGGCCTAAAATAGTCAGGTTTCTTATCTCCTTAATTGTTTCCCTGTTTCTTGGCTTTTTTGTATTGAAAAAATTTGAGTTTCTTCCAGCTTTTAAAAATTGTAACTTTCCATTGATCATCCATATACATACATCTTTGTGAACATAAGTATTTTTGTAAGATAGAGTAGTAAGGATCTTTGGATCAGAGTGTGCAGTTTAAATGTTGATAGGTACTATAAGCTATATTCAAGCTGTGTATCAACTATCAACATGTATAAGCCTACTCATTTTCTCAAGCCTTTTCCAGTGAAATATTCTCAGCATTAAAAAAATTTTTTTTTGCCAATTTGATGGATAAGAAGTAGTACATAATAGTTGTTTTAACTTGAGTTATTATTAGTGACTAAATAAATTAGTATTTATTGACATGATAGTCATTTTAGGACATCTTTCTTTCATCACATTAGTTCCCCATTGGAAGGTTTGCTTACCTTTTTCCTAATCCTTGTTTGTAGGGTTTCTCCATGTTTGTAAATGTGTGTGTGTGTGTGGGTGGCTTTGCCTGTCAGAAGTTAGACGTTTATCTGAAGGTAAATACAGTCATCTTTTCCTTAATGATGTCTGGGTTTCATGCTGTGCTTAGACTTTCCCTCCCCTCAACAGTTAAAAACAAAAAGTATTCTCACCTTTTATTTTAATAATATTCTAGTTTGCTTTGTATATGTGATTAGTTCCTGTATATCTCATGAAATTCTTGTTTCATGAGCTGTCAACCCATTTTACTGCCAAAGGAAAAATAACGAAGTTTTAATTCAGAAAGATCATAAAAACAAAAGCACTATGTATGCCTTTTTGGTAATGATTACTTTGGAATTATAGACTTGGAACCAGGCTGCCCTTCCTTCTCCTCTCTGCTCTGCTCCAATTGTGTTTGTCCTTTTTTAACTATCTTTTTTAAAAGTACATGTTGTTTTTACTAAATATAACTGTTTGACACTTCTGTTTATAAACTGTTTCCACACACAGTCTGGTTGGTTCCTCAGAACACTTTTGAGTTAGAACAGTAGATATAATGATCCCCATTTTATGGGTGAAGAAACTGAGATTATATAAGCAACAAGTTGCAGAGAATTTTCTGACTCCAGTTATTCTAGCTATGGTTCTTTTTAGTTACCCAAATTCTAAGAACATCTGACTCTTAGCCTATATTGTTCTTCTGTTGTTTATCTCCTTTAAAAAAATTTATGGCTCAGTATCTGAGTGGAATTTTTTGCATCTTCCTGAAATAAACAAAAAGAGAAGAAACTCAGTATGCGTCACAAATGTTTCTTCGGTGTTTTCTGAGAGGACAGAGAGGGTTGGAAGAAGGTTGGGATAACTAGAATTTAATGAAATAGAGCTTTCCTGAAGCTGGAATAAACATTGTGTTGCTGCTGGCCTGATAGCCTTTCACAGTTTCCAGTGCCTTGCCTTTGTATAATTCTCCATATACACATTTAGAGTTTTAAGGTAGCTGAGTGAGCCTTTCATAGACCAGACTTTCATCTCTGATTCTGCCTGTGACTCTCATTCCAGAACCCCAGCTACATGCCTGCCACCAGCAGCCTCTGTGGGGCCTATCCTGCTGGGTGTTTGCTTTTAGATTACTGGGACTCTTATAATGAATCCTTTACTGTAAAAAGTATGCTACCCATTTTCTTTTTAACTTCTCATTTTAGCCATTAAAATAATGGCACTGCTAATTGTCTTAGCCTAGAAGTTCAGAAGATTCTTTTTATGCTGCATTTATCTTAAGAGTTCTCAATGTTACATGATAAAGCATCTAAGTTTCCCAATTTTGAATTAACTTGACCAAAAGAGAGATGTTCAATGGAATTCAAGTATATTATTTCTATGCAAAATAAACTTCACCAAGACTGAGAAAACACCATTAAAAGGGCAATATCATATTTCAAATTCATAATTATTTCATTAATACCAAAAAGACAAGTATTGTACAGAGTTGTTTTCCAGGAATATGCTCAAAAGGATTATGTTAATGCATTTGGGTGTCTCTTGCAAAGAAGACATGGTGAATGGGAAGGCCCAGCTTTGGGCAGAGTTGTAGAAGCTTGAAAAACATCCAAGAAAAAAGGGAAAATTTCAGTATGATGATCAGTTCATTTAAGAGGGCTTATGATATTGTTACCTTTATGGTCATTTTTTTTTTTTTTAATGGTCATTTTTGTACTAAACCAATCTATAGAGGGGACTTCTGCTTGTATTTGTGAATTTTGTCAAAGTCAGGGTTTGGAGGCAAAGTTTATTTTTAGGATCTGCTCTCTCCAACTATTGGACTTACCTCTTTGGCTCCTCTTGACTTTATAATTGGTTTCTCATCCCCCAAAGCAACCGTCACAACCTCTCTTAGATTCTATCCTGTATGAATTGAATGGAGCAGTAGCTA